TAGGCAACTAATTAATCAGGATATACAACTGAGCATAGATAACGTTTGCAATGTTTTCTACGAGCAAAAGATTGCCCAGCAATCAGTTCAGAGTTAATTTGAAGGTAAGTAAATTAGATCCTTTTTTTATATAGAATGGTAGTGTGAGTTTTACATACTAATTTCTCGTGAGTTTTACATACTAATTTCTCTTATTATTTTTTTTCCTCATGTTTAGACTTAAATTTGAATTCTTAACTTATTTTACTGGACAAAACTTATCCATTATTAATAAAATTAACAATTAAATTGCACTAATTTGTTAAGATCAAAATCCATAAATCAAAATTAACCATAAACTTACAGAAGATAAGGTGAAAAGATGAATTAAGACCCTTCCTCCTCAAGCTTCGCTTTAATTAATGACAGTCAAACCTGCTCTAACTATAATTTGAATACAAAGCTATAAGGAACGAACAGAATGTAAAACTAATGCATATCAAATCACATAAAATTAATTATAATTTAATTGGAATACGAATTAATAATCTAAAAGTGTGAACAAAATGTAATTTGGACTTTATAAAACAGTAAGAGATATTATCATACTCACCGGACTTGAAAGCTTTGTTTAATTTGTTCCTGCTGGATAAGTAAAAGTACTACTAGATATTATATCATAAAATATAAATGACTGCCAAATGACTTTGATTGCAATGCACAGCACATTTCCACCACACCATTTTATAATCTTCTTTTTATAGACATGATTTGTTCCAAAAGCAAAAGCAAGCAACAGAGAATAATTTCAGGGTACGGTTGGAGCACAGGCTGCGTAGGACAAGAAAAGATTAAGAGGGAAGGATATGAATGAATTAGATGCCGATGGAATATAAAAAAATCTAATCATGGGAATAAAGTGGGAGTAGAAAAAATATATTTACTTGATTAAACACAGAAGCCCTTGTATTACAATTAAATATTTTTTTATTTTAATTTCTTTTACGGATAATTAAGTTATGAATTAAATAATAATGAAATTAATTACCATTAATTAGTTGATCAAAATTATGACAAAATCTCCCATTATTGTTATTATTATTATCATTTTTTCTTGATAAAGAAAAAACAACAACTTTCGTTTTCTCATGTAAGAAACAGTTATAGTACCAAATAAATTCTACAAATTCAGTTACATTCATCTTTAAGCAAACTCAAATTGGGATTGAATATATTTGTATGTTTGGATTAACTATTTTGATGCAGACAACACTACAAGGAAAATGCTGATTGCCTGCATTTTATTTTTGCGGTTGTACCAAACGCCAGCCAACTACTCTTTTTGATTTTTACTGGCTATACTTTCGTGGCATTTGGCAAAACGCAGGTGGATTCTTGCGTTTTATTTATTAAACGCAGGGAATTAATTAAAAAAAAAAAGTGGCCTAAAATAGCACTAAATCTAATAAAAAAGCAAAGCAAGGGATTTGAAAATAATTTATGGTCGAGTTCTAGAATGCATTTTCCCCAAACATTAATTTTCATTTCATCCAGCAATTTCTCCATGAGCTCATTTCTGATTACGATTTCGATTCCGATTATCCTTATTTCTGTTTTCATTTTGATTATCCTTCAACTCAATTTGTTGTTGTCATCATCGAGTATTATCACATCATGGATTCCATTTGGTGGATTTGAGACTTGCCATAATCGTAGCAATCGATGGGTGTCGAAGGGGAACACAGAAGTAGAAAATGATGGCGTCTCGTCCCTTCGATAATGATGGCTACATTGGCTACGATCCTCGCCTTTCGCCTCAGCGATTTGACTCGTTCTCCAACTTCTACGCTGGCTCAGTCAAGGACTCGGTCTGTGACTCGTCGCCAATATTCAGCAGTCAATCATACAGCTCTAGAGATGACGTGTTCGTATCTCAGCCGCTTCTTGAGACTCCGTCGCCGCCACCAATCGGTGGCGGTGGTGGTAGATTCCCTTTTTAGTTGCATTTGTAAACGCAAGTAAATACTTAAACAAATGCTGGGAATTGATCTTTTTCTTATAGTGTAATAGCTATTAGTTAACATTCAATAGTTAATAATCTTGGTATATAATTCCTTTGATTTAAGCCAATAATTTATAGATGTTCTCCAAACTTGAAAACGAACACTCAATAATAATAATTTCATTTGGATAGTTTAAAATAGAGGAATGAGAGCATAAAATTATATGTTTTATTTAATTAAATAAATTACATAA